GGGGGGGGGGGGGAGGGGGGGAGAAAAATGTTACGCATGTAGGGCATATCATCTGGTCGGTTATGTAAAATGGATCGACAACGAAGGTTGAGTACGTCTTAGCTGATATATATGTATGTATATATATATATATATATGTATATTGGCAGTATAAAGGCGAGTGTGATTGAGATTAAATTCCGCTTCCTTCGGCGTAAATAAATAATTTCTAAAAAAATATCACTGGTCTCGAGATGTACGCGGGATGTCGACGGGAAATTTCGGCCGATGGGGCTGCTTGTCGCGAAAATCGCGTGCGCGCGTGTGTGTCTTGTTTTGAAGAGATTTGATTTCGTAGCTAGAAAGGAATTCTTATGCATCGAGGTGGCCGTGCCCCGACATCTTGTAGAAATAATCAAACAGAAAAACAGAATATACGTTTCGCGACCGTTCAAGAAGTAAAAAAATAATTACCTCTGCGCATCTCTGAATAAAAGCGCACGCACGCACACGCGAACCGTCGTCTGAAGGCGAGAAAACGCGATTAGATTTTGCACGATGGCTGAATCCGTTGACTGCCATCGTGGTCCGGAAATGTGCGGGCGAAGTGCGTTTGCAGCCCTCGTCACGTTTCTGCGGAAATGCGCCGAGCAGCCTCTCATCAGGCCGGAATCTTGCAGACTTGCGACATCCGGCCGAATAATACCGTAAAAATCCGTTCACAGCTGGACGCGCCCAGCGCCTCTTTTGTTTCGTTTTCCTCTAGCCTAGAATCTAAGTCGTACTTGAAGGCACTTAACACAAGGCTCCCTCGGTTCAAAATCTACTTGTTCGACTTTCTCGTCTCTCCCACGTACGCGCTATTCGCTCGTGTTTCGCCATTCCTTACTAGCTACTCGCCTATTTCTCCCGCGATTATTTCCTCCCTTCTTTTGTTGTCCCGCGAAGTGTCGCGATGTCGCTTTGTTTTGGGAGTTTCTTTCTCCGCGATGGGCGCTCAAACTATTGTATCTCGCGTCGTTCACCCTCCCGTCATCATTGTCGCACCCCGCACGTTTCCCTCTCATTCACACTACACATACTCACATACACGCATACTCTTTCTCTCTCTTTCTTCTTTGCGCACACACTATGATGTAACATATCTTCGGGCCAATTAACAATCTAATTGCAGCGCATTATTCTC